AGGGTTTCCCTATACTCTACTTTCCCCCTTATCCTCTTTCTTCCTTCTCTTCCCTCTTCTTCTTCTTCTTCTCCTCTCCCTCTCCTCCCTCCTCCTTCCTCCTCCTTCCTCCTCCTTCCTCCTAAACTCCTCTCGATTCTCCCCCTCCTCCTCCGTTTGTGTCTTTTCTTCTCTTCTCCTCCTCCTCCTCCTCCCTCCTCCTCCTCCCTCCTCCCTCGCTCCTCCTCCTCCTCACACCTCTACTACTACTTACTACTACTACTCTACACTAGCTACTCCCCTCCTTCTCCTTCCACTTCGCCTCCTCCTCTCCTCCTCCTGCCTCCTCCTCCTCCCTCCTCCTCCCCCACCTCTGCCTCCTCCTCCTCCTCCTCCTCCTCCACCTCCTCCTCGCTCTCCTCTCCTCCTCCTTCCCTCTCTCCCTCCTCCCCCTCCTCTTCCTCCCCCCTTTTTTCCTCCCCTTTTTCCTCCCCTTCCCCCCTTTATTTTTACTTCTTTCATGCCTCTTGTCACCTCCAGATGTTCTTCTTGCCTTTGGCTTTTCATTTTTTTTTTCTAATATTCCTCACCTAATTTTTTTTCCAATAACCATGGTTTTTTTTCAATCTGCGATTTCTTCTCTCTCTCTCTTCTCTTCTCAATCTCTCTCTCTCTCTCTCTTTCTCTCTCTCCTCTCTCCTCTCTCTCTCTCTTTTTTTCTCTCCCTCTCCCTCTCCTCCCTCTCTCCCTCCCTCCCTCCCTCCCTCCCTCCTTCCCTCCCTCCCTCTCCCTCCCTCCTTCCTCCCTCTCTCCCCCCCTTTCCTCCCTCCCTCCCTCCCTCTCTCCCTCAATTATTAATCATGTCTCTCCTTTTTCCTCTCCCTCACCACCCCCGCCCGGAACAACAGCAGGGCCTCCACCACGCGCTGGGCATGGTGGTGGTGCAGAGCGACGGCCATCTGGCGGCGGTGCTGGAGATGTACCGGCGGGAGAGCGGCGAGAGCTTCCACGAGGAGGACGAGGAGATCGTGAACTCGTACCTGGTGTGGGGGGGGATCGCCCTGCACTACGCCGAGCTCTACCACAGCATGGTCAAGCAGAGGAAGCTCAACGACTTCATTCTGTCTGTCGTCAAGTGAGTTGGAGGGAGCGGTCGTCTTCTTCGGAGCGTCCGTTTTCTTTGATGGTTTTCCTGTTTTCTTTTTTTGGAGGGGGGACCTCTATATTTTATTGCTTTTTATTTTGTCTATTTATTTTTTTGATGTTGTTTTTTTACTTTGTGGGGATGGTGATAGGGAGCGTGAGAGGTTCTTTTATATAATAGGTTTGAGTTTTTATTTCGATTTTGATCCAGCTAAGGAAGATATCAAATGAGTTATATGGAGCAATCGTTTTGTTTGGTGCGTCCGTTTTCTTTTATGTTTTTTTCCGTTTACTATTTTCGGGGGGACTGTTTTTTGTATTCAGTATTTTCTATTTATTGTTTGCCTTTGTTGTCTTTTTTATTTTGGAGAAAACAGTAGTGGAGAATGAGAGAAGTATTTTATTTAGTCTGATTTTTTAAAAGTTTCTTCTTCGTTTTGAGATTTGAGAGGCTGTTGAGTTCTCGTTACTTATTTGATTACTTTTTCAAGTGGTTTTGCATTGGCAGAGAGGTTGCTTTTATGTGGATTTGTCTTTTTTTTTCTATTTTTTCCCTCTTTTTGATTTTTGAGTGTGTGGGGACCTTTTGTAATTATTTCTTTATTTCTTCTTTTGCTTGGGTCTAATGATAAATTTACATTTACTTACTTAATGGAATTTGATAATAGCCCTAATTAGGCCTTTGTTAACATCGTATATATATGTATATATATATAGTATACATATATGTATATATACCTATATATAATATATTATATATATATATATATATATATATATATATATAATATATATATATATATATATATATATATATGTGTGTGTGTATGTGTGTGTGTGTGTGTGTGTGTGTGTGTGTGTGTGTGTGTGTGTGTGTGTGTGTGTGTGTGTGTTTATCTATTTATTTATTTATATATATATATTTATATGTGTGGTGTTGTGTCCGTGTGAATCATCTTTATTTGATTTTGTCATTATCTAAGGATTTCTATCGTCAAAATTATTTTTTAATTGAACTTCCTCAGTGCATTAAATTGTTTCGATGGAAAATGAAATACATAGCGCACACCACTAATGAGCTAAGTTGATGAGGTAATTAGTTGAATCAACTTATCAACATGATTAAGATAGCAGCGTAACGAAAACGTAATGAGGCAGACTGATTATAGAAGTTTCCTGTAAGATTGAGGTCATTACAAGGAACCAATGAGCGCACAGATCTTGCTTTTAATGGCCAATCACAGGGACGAGGAGTTATGACGTAACGAGATGCCTTCCGATCACAAATGCATAATGACGTGACGAAATAAAAGCCAATTTTAAAAGATGTCCAAATAAAAAATGCTCCAATCACGGGTGATTCGCGGCGTGACGTAAGGAACCCGGAAACCAATCACCAAAGTCTCACAGTTCAAACTAACCAATCATGGAGACGATTCACGCCGTGACGTAAGGAACCCGCTAAACCAATCACCGAAGTCGCACTGTTCAAACGGACCAATCAGAACTCTTTCTGCCGACGCTTCTGAGTGCAAGAAAGGCACAAAACTCTCACTTCAACATGTCGGAGGATTCACCGTTAAACAGATAATTGGGTTTCCTTTGGCAATTTGGCCGGGAAAGGAGGAGGAAAAGGAAAAAGAAGGAATGGGAGAGAGGAAGGAAGAAGAGGAGGAGAGAGAAAATTATATTAAATTGTTAACACTGGTTGCCATGGGGAACAGTGTCACTTTGGCGGTCGGGTGATCTAATGTGACATGGCTTTATTTTTTTTTTTTCCTTTAGATACACGGATATAATGGCAGTGATTTTAACGGGAAACGAAACGAGATTTTAAAACAATCTGCGAATAAATTACTACCCTCTTCATCAAAGCTTTGGTCTCTTTATTCTTACGTGCACTTAGAGCGATGGAAGTGGGAGACACGGAGGGAGGGGGGGGGGGTGCGGATGAAATGGAGAGGGGGAGGGGTAGGGGGTGGAATGGGCGTGAAAGGACGAGGCAGAGGAGGGGCAGGGGGGAGGGGGGGGGATGGAGGAGGGGGAGGCAAGGATGTTAAAGCCTTGATTTCAAACGGATCCATCTACGGACACACTGCGCTCGGAGAGGTCTTCTCGGAAGCAGGGGCCGGTGTTCCCAATTGTTGCCTCTCTGTGCTTGTGTACCGTGTATACCCCTCCCCCCCCCCACTTCCCATATCTCTCACTTCACACACGCACACACACCCGCTGAAGTTAGGGAAGTTTCATCCGATTTCCCCCCCCCCACCTGCCCATATTTCGTCACGTACACACACGCACACACAACCCGCTGAAGTTAGGGAAGTTTCATCCGATTCCCCCCCCCCCATCTCCATATCTTCTCACGTACACACACGCACACACACCCGCTGAAGTTAGGGAAGTTTCCTCCGCATTCCCCCCCCCACCCACCTCCCATATCTCTCACGTACACACACGCGCACACACCCGCTGAAGTTAGGGAAGTTCATCCGATCCCCCCCCCCCCCCCCACCTCCCCATATCTCTCACGTACAACACACGACACATACCCGCTGAAGTTAGGGAAGTTTCATCCGATTTCCCCCCCCCCCCACAGCCTCCCATATCTCTCCGTACACACACGCCCCACACACCCGCCTGCAGTTAGGGAAGCTTTCATCCGATGACCCCCCGCCCCCCCCACCTCCCCATCATCTGCTCACGTACACACACGCAACACACACCCGCTTGAAGTTAGGGAAGTTTCTTCGATCCCCCCCCCCCCCCACACCTCCCATATCTCTCACGTACACACACGCACACATACCCGCTGAAGTTAGGGAAGTTTCATCATCCCCCCCCCCCACCTCCCATATCTCTCACGTACACACACGCACACACACCGCTGAAGTTAGGGAAGTTTCATCCGATCCCCCCCCCACCTCCCATATCTCTCACCGTACACACACACACACATACCCGCTGAAGTTAGGGAAGTTTCATCCGATCCCCCCCCACTCCCATATCTCTCACGTACACAGCACGCACACACCACCCGCTGAAGTTAGGGAAGTTTTCATCCGACCCCCCCCCCACCTCCCATATCTCTCACGTACACACACGCACACACCCGCTGAAGTTAGGGAAGTTTTCATCCGATTCCCCCCCCCCCCCCCATCTCCCATATCTCTCACGTTACACACACGCACACACACCCGCTGAAGTTAGGGAAGTTTCATCGATCCCCCCCCCCACCTCCCCATATCTTTCACGTACACACGCACACACACCCGCTGATGAAGGGGAGTTTCCCTCCGATTCCCCCCCCCCCCACCTCCCATATCTCTCACGTACACACACGCAACACCACCCGCTGAAGTTAGGGAAGTTTCATCCGATCCCCCCCCCCCCCACCTCCCATACTCTCCACGTACACACACGCCACACCATACCCGCTGAAGTTAGGAGTTTTCCAATCCGATTCCCCCCCCCCCACCTCCCATATCTCTCACTACACACACGCACACGTTACCCGCTGAAGTTAGGGAAGTGTTTCATCGATTTCCCCCCCCCCCCCATCTCCCATATCTCACGTACACACCGCACAACACACCCGCTGAAGGTTAGGGAAGTTTCACCCATGATACTCTCACTACACACACATATAACGCTGAAGTTAGGGAAGTTTCATCCGATTCCCCCCCCCCCCCACCTCCCATATCTCTCACGTACACACACGCCACACACCGCTGAAGTTAGGGAAGTTTTCATCCGATTCCCCCCCCCCCCACCTCCCATATCTCTCAGTTACACACGAGCCACACACCATAACCCGCTGAAGTTTAGGGAAGTTTCATCCGATTCCCCCCCCCCCCCCACCTCCCCTATCTCTCACGTTACACACACGCACACATACCCGCTGAAGTGTAGGAGTTTCAACTCTATCCCCCCCCCCCACTCCGTATCCTCTCACGTACCATCCCACGCACAGCCACACCCGCTGAAGTTAGGGAAGTCTTCATCCTATCCTCCCCCCCCACCTCCCATACTCCAGTCACACACACGCACAACACCCGCTGAGTTAGGGAAGTTTCATCCGATCCCCCCCCCACCTCCCATATTCTCTCACGTACACACACGCACACACATTACCCGCTGAAGTTAGGAAGTTCATCCTATCCCCCCCCATCTCCCATATCTCTTCACGTACAACACAGCGCACAACACCCCGCTGAAGTTAGGCGAGTTTCATCCGTTTTCCCCCCCCACCTCCCATATACGTACATACAAACACAATATACCGCTGAATTAGGGAAGTTTCATACCGTTCCCCCCACACCTCCCAATATTCTCTCACCGTACACACACGCACACCACACCCGCTGAAGCTTAGGGAAGTTTCATTCCGAATTTCTGAGGGGATTGGTTTAAGTTGATTCACGCAGGGGTTTTTAGGGGGGGATTTTTACGAAAAAAAAAAAGGTTGGGGGTATTTTAGTATGGGGAAAAAGGGGAAGGGGATAGTCTTTTTTTTTTAAAAAACTCCATTTTTTTTTCATTTTTTTTTTTAATTTTTTAAAATTTTTTTTTAACAATATTTTGGTTTTTTTTCTTTTTCTTTGTGATCATTGCCGAAAGTGATTGGTTCTTTTTTATCTATTTTTTTTCTGTGATCATTCTGCTTTCAAACTTGATTGGTTCTTTTTTTTATATTTTTTTCTGTGATCGATTTGTAAACTTGATTGGTTTCTTTTTTATTTTTTTTTTCTATGTCATTGTTAAACTTGACTGGTTCTTTTTTATTTTTCTGTGATCATTGCTAAACTTGATTGGATTCTTCTTTTTATATATTTTTTTTTCCTGTGATCATTGTAAACTTGATTGGATCGTAAGGTTGTGGATGGAATGGACGTCGGAGTGCGGGTGCTGTTGTATTCACTACCATTCACTACCAGGACGTATGAAGGATCTTCGGTGGTCGAGTAAGTCTTCCGAGAGAGCGTCGAATATTTTCAGCTGCCTCTGGAGATAAATGATAATAATGATGATGAATTAACGAAGGATGATTGGCGAGGATAAATAAGGATGATGTGTGATTGAGGATAAAAAAAATATCGCGTTTAACCTAGATTTCCGGTTGCTATAGATTATGTACATATTTACTTGAAAAGCTCTCCTAACAATTTCTCAACTAAAACGACAATAATAAAGATGGTGATTAATAAAAAGAATAATCCGTTAAAAAAACCTAAGATTCCTCGGTGTTATCGACCGATACATATTCACGTTGAAAAGCTTTGCCTAACAAATTCTCAATTAAAACGATAATAATAAGGATGATTGGTGATAATAAAAAAAATCGGGCGTTTAAAAACTTAGATTACGACTCGTGTTCCTTCACTTTGAAAAGCCTCCCCAAACCAATTTCTCAACTTAAAACGACAATAATAAGGATGATGATAATAAATTTAAAAAAAAAAATCGGCGTTAAAAACTTAAATTCCCGGTGTTATCGACCGTGTATTTTTCCTCACCTGAAAAGCTCTCCCAAACAATTTCTCAACTAAAACAATAATCAAATAGGATGTAATAAATATAAAAAAAATCGCGTTAATAACTTAGATTCCCGGTGTTATCGACTCGTATTTCCTCACCTGAAAAGCTCCCCAAACAATTTCTCAACTAAAACAATAATAATAAGGATGATGTTAATAAATAAATAAAAAATTCGCAGTAAAACTTACAGATTCGACTTGTATATCCTCACTTGAAAAGCTCCCCCCACAAGAACAATTTCTCACTAAAACGTAATAATAAGGATGATAATAATTAAAAATTTAAAAAATCGCGTTTAAAAACTTAGACCCGGTGTTATCGACTCGTATTTTCCTCACCTGAAAAGTCCCCCCAAACCAAATTTCTCAACTAAAAAATAATACATAAGGATGATGATAATAAATAATAAAAAAGTTCGCGTTAAATAAAAATAGATTCGACTCGGTAATTTCCTCACTTGAAAAGCTCCCCTAACAATTTCTCAACTTAAAACAATAATAATAAAGATGATGATGATAATAAATAAAATAAAAATCGCGTTAAAAACTTAGATTCCCGGTGTTATCGACTCGTATTTCCTCACTTGAAAAGCTCCCTTAACGATTTCTCAACTTAAAACATCGCTCAAGGATCATAAGTTTTCGTCAGGGGGCTGCGGCTGTCAGCTGATTGGCGGAAGTGGAATGTAATGGCATCCTCGTCAGCATTCACTCCGCTTTCCATCTGGAGATTAGCTAATCTGCTGATCCATTCGTGTTTAGTGAGTGCCAGTCGTGTCGTCAGTGCGTTCGTGGATTCTCGCGTAGGGGAATATGAGCCTTATTAAATCGTCATTCGGACATAATTCTGCAGAGGACAGTTCTTCGTTATTGTTATTGTTAAGATCATTATTATCATTATTATTATTGCTGTTTTGTTGCTGTTGTTAATATTCTTTATTATTATCTTTATATCATTATCATCAGCAACATTATTACCATCATCATCACATCATCACATCATCACCACACCATCCATCATCACCACCACCATCATCACCATCCCTATTATTACGAGAATAACGTGATCAGCGCCATCGACCCCCCCCCACCCGCCCCCTCCCTCCCCGCCCCCCCTCCCTCCCGCCCCCCTCGACCGACATCGACGGCGATCTCTCTACCCCCTTCTACGATGACGTCACCGATAGAGTCAACCAGGAAGCGGATGTTCGAGTGTCCTTTGATCTTCCCTAAACTGCGGCGGGTCTCATGCGGGCGTGAAAGGAACGGCCAAAATACCTTCGCCATTAGGTGTCCCTCGGAGGATGAGAAGGTCCGCGGTGGCCAGGCGAGGGGAGGGGCGGGGCGGGCGGGGGGACGTGGGGGGCGGGCGGACTGGGCGGGCGGGGCGGGCGATCAGGGGAGGGGGGGAGGGAGGACTGGCGAAATGGCTCGAGTTTTTGTCGTCGTCCGGGTCGAGGTGGGGGGGGGGGGTGGAGGAGGGGGGAGTTCGGTCTGGGCATGAGGTGGGTGAGGGGGGAGGGGTTTAGCGGGTAACTGTGATCGGAAGTCTTCTCGACTACATATATATATATATCTATATCTATATATATATATATATATATATATTTTTTTTTTTTTTTGGGGGGGGGGGAATCGTAGATTAAAATATACGGTTTGATTATATGATAGTTGGTAGATCTCCTTAGAGAGTAACGACAGATAATCTTTATAGCCAAGGGTTAGGAGAGATAATGAACTTACAACGGTTTGTTTTATTCATATGATGTTGAGACGAAGAACTTTCATCATAATCGGTCTGATCCAATTGATATCCACTTATAATAAATCATTACACATTTATAAATATATATCTCACTCTACATATATCCACCAGGTAGATAGATGGATCCAAATCAACCAAACAGATAGATAATACGCGTGTATATCTATATCTCTATCTATCTATCTATATCTCGGCCGATTATTTCTTGTTGTGATCTCGTGTCCAAGGTGTCCTCCCCCCCCCACCCCCCACCCCCGGGTAAGAAAGTTCACTACGGGGCTAAAACTTCACGTAATGTCAAATCAAAATCGGGAGGGAGGGATGAGTGATGATGATGATGGTGATGATGATGATGATCATAATGGTGATGGTGATGATAATGGTGATGATGATGATGGATGATGGTGATGATGATGGATGATGTGATGATGATGATGATGTGATGATGATGATGATCATAATGGTGATGATGGTGACGATAATGTGATGATAATGGTGATGATGATGATGACGATGGTGATGATAATGATGATGATGGTGGTGATGATGATGATGGTGGGGAGGAGAGATACTTTGCGTAGGAGAAAATATTTTTGGTGTTCTGTAATTTCTGTCGATATGTTGCGTAACCGTTCAGAGGACGACTCGAGAGGCAATTGCTCTTAACATTATCATTATTATTCCTTTTTAATGATACGAATACGTCTCCGAAAATAACAAAGCGAAGGAATATTCTTCTCTCAATTATGTTTGTAATTACCGTCTTTTCCATCCTCCTCTTCTGGTGTTTTTTTTGTGTGTGTTTTTTTTTATTCTGTTTACCTCCCCCTCCTTTTTGGTTATTTTTTTTTCTGTCGCAGAGAGATTACTGTCAATTATTTCTGCTGTCCTGGCAAAGCCTGCCGAGTGGAATAATGAGGAATTTTAATTATGATTTCCTTTTTGAATCATTACTCGGTGGAGAAATTCAGGAAAAAATAGCCTTTTTTTATGTACTCATGTTTATGCATATTATATAAGGATGTGTATATGATTATATATGTGTGTGTGTGTGTGTGTGTATGTGTGTGTGTGCGTGTGTGTGTGTGTGTGTGTGTCCTATGTATGTATGTCTATATATATTCATATCCCTTTCTCTCTTTGCCTCGCCCTCATTTTCCCGGACATCCGCCTCGCTTCCTCATCCGTACTCCCTCCCCTCTCCCCCTCACTCTCACTCCTCACCACTTCTCTCTCTCTCTCTTTTGATATATTCCTCTCATTACTTTTTCCCCCTTGAGTCGCCTCCCTCCTCTTTCAGTATCATTTCATTAACCACTTCCCTCCTCCCTCCCCTCCCTTTCGTCTCCTTCCCCTCACTGCGTCCCTTCTCCCTCTCAGCATCATTCCACTCATCATTCCCCGCTTCGCCTTCTTTCGCCTTCAGTGTCATTCTTCTTACCTCCCTTCATCTCTCCCTTTGGCTCATTCTCCTCACCACCTCACGGCTCTCTCCTCCCTCTCCCTCTTTTATATCTCATTTCCCTCGCCAGCTCCCTCCCTCTTCGCCTTTTATGTCATTCCCCTCTTCTCTTCC